GAGCTGGATGGTTTGATGGTGTCAAGTTTATTACGAAAAGGCCTTTGCAAATTGGAAGTGATGATGTCCGACTAGAGATCGACCACGCGCTGGCTGAGGTTCCTAATGTTGTCCCACGTCATGAAGTCGATGAAGAATCTGCCTTGCACCTGACACTGGAATTGAGAGGTAGTGAAAGTAGGCCAATATCAGGACTTGACGAGTCTCAAGGTGCCGAAATCTCAGATGCGTCGTCGGCAGAATTGAGAAGCCAAGTCGATGGTCAGTCTCGGTGGGGAAATGATGTACTCTTTTGCCATGACAATTTCTATCACTGCCCGTACTTTGGAAGGCATAGCCCGCGCTTGATGGACCTTCTGAGAGCATGGAGACGCCTCGTGGAAAGTGGAATTGTGACCGTTGGCCCGAACGGAGTAGAAGGGACGATAGAGGAAGCCTGGGAAGAAGCTAGGAGAACAAGACGAGGACTAGACGAGTTTGATATAGGCAGATGTTGGGAGTGTTGAATGGCTCTGGTCCATTGACTGTATTCACTTGCTATCTTAAGAGAATCTGATACCCTTGGTAGAACATGCAGGTAACTACCATGGCCACCCTCTATCTTGTGTATCTGAAGAAACTTGCCTTGTCTCCACTATCCATCTCTGCTCTCTTCATTTCAGTGGTGTAGTCATTGGGATGAGGATGTTCCTCGTCTCTGCGCTTGTTGATTTGTCCCAGGATAAACCACTGGAAGGCGACGAGGATGAATGACATGGACAAAAATCCAAGGCAGACTCCATGTCCTGTGAAGTATCTCGGTGCGTCGGTGTTCTTGTAGCTGTTCCTCAGATTAGATGATAGATTTTTTATGAGGATGGGATTATTGCACTTACATGAATGACGATATGACACCACCACAATTTCCGAACCCAATTTGGATCGCGATTCCGACGCCTCGCTTCGTTGAACCTCCGATATTGTTTCCATTCCACATCACCATGATAGGAATCATGGGGTAACTGAAAAATGTTAAATTCTCTGAAAAAAAAAAAAAAAAAAAAAAAAAAAACCGAGGTATGCGGGATAACTCACACTCCGCAGGCAGCCAAAAATGTGCCGACGTATTGCACAGCGGGGGTATCCGTGGAAAGAAGGAGAACATAACCAATGATTGCCGAACAGCAGAATCCCGCAAGGAACCTGCAAGTGATTAGGTCTTGTACTTCCATGGGCGGCTACAATATTAAACTTACACTGCTCGCTTGTTGACTCGGTCACTGTAGAATCCACCGAGAACTGTGAAAACACACCCCAATACATAAGGAGGCTGAAGACTAGTTAGAAACAAAGTTTGACCGCTCGAAGTGACTATACTTACTACTGTGAGCAGCTGAGACATGGCATCGCTGTAACCCATAGCCCGGATGATCGATGGCAAGAAAAGAGAGAACGAATAGAGTGGGACGAGAATTCCAATGTAGGCAACAGATTGGACCCATATCTTCCAGTCAGCGAATGCATCCTTCATGAATTTGACATGGTAATGGGATGCAAGATCATCGTTGTCATGCGCCAAACGAAGTGACACCTCCTTCGCCTCCTCAGCGTTCAGGAATGAAGCTGTTGCAGGACTGTCGGCCATTGCCCAGAAAGCGATGAGTGCAACAATAACAGTTAGAAGTCCTTCGAGGATAAAAATCCAGGCCCATCCGTTTTTTCCTCCTAGCCCATCCATCTCGTTTATTCCACGGGCGAGGAGACCTCCAAAAGCACCTGCGACTGTAGCTGCCGAGAAGAAGATCGCAGCTCGGAACGCGCATTCTCGACGGCAATACCAGAGAGTGATATAGTAGTTGACACCCTGCGATCGTCAGGCTTATGTCTTAAACAATGCTGGTCAGACAGTCAACTTACTGGGAAGAGACCAGCCTCGGCAACACCAAGGAAGACTCGAGCAACGACGAGTCCGTGAAAGTTTGAGACGAAGCCCGTGAATGTCATCGTGATTCCCCACGCAAGCATCATGATTGGAAACCACATGGACTGTCACCGAGTTAGTGTTGTCTTCTACAGAGGTCCGGCTATGTCATACCGCTCTCCAACGCTTCAAAATCCTGGAAATATTAATTTATGCTTTATTTAGTGTGGAATATGCTCTTACATATTGGAAGGAACTTCGAACAAAACATAGGTCACGACTAAAGGTGGTATTAGGATTTGGATGGCTTAACATCTCTTGACAAGACTCACAGAAAACGGCTACAAGGTTAAACTGTTAGCAAATGAACAGGTCACAAAGTCAGACTGGAACTTACATAAAGCTGTGTTGTACTGCATCCCTTTCAGCCCAATCGCCTTCTCGAGACCAAAAAGTTTCGCATTTCCGATATTCGTACGACTGAACACACTATCAGAGGAGCCGCATCGACTTCTTTGGACCAACTTACTCGAGGAATGAAAGTAAGTATAGCAGGGACAAGAACGGAATCAGATGCCAATCGATTTTTCTCAAAAGTCGCTTCGTTTGCAATGTGTCGTAAGTTGGGATATCCTCGACGAAGGCAACATCTGCTTTCTCATCGCCATCAATGCTTTTGATCTGCTTCAATTGCAGGTCTGAAGCGGGATTGGTCGTGGTTTCAGTAGCCATTTTGGGCGCGAGAAAATGCAAACTCCTGGCAGCAGTGATGGTAAGAACAGCAATCTTAAGGGATCGGCAGGGAGAATGGCCTAGTGGGATATCTTCCCCATCTTATAGAAATGTCACGATGCACATGATGCGGGGGTTTGGAGGGGTGTAACAGGATCTCACATGCCTTGCATGGCTAAGACCCCGCCATGCCCAGGTGCCCAGCTCACCATGTGAGCCACTTTTCGTACTGTGGATTCTTGCTTATGCCTAGAATTCTCTCAGCGAAACAACAGTGGAATAAACTTTATCATAGTTTTGACAAGGCGCTTAATGGACAAGATACGGAGATTTTCCGTCTTCTGGCCGTTTTGTCATCCTCGCCCAGGGTTTAATGGCTCCTTGGTAATGCAGCCGGCTCTTGGCTGGGCGGAGAACCAACCGACTCGAGTCTTCCGTAAATCCAAGCTGCTGGCTGCCGTCATTCATTTCATTAGAGAACGGATCTTCTGTGCTTCGTTGAAATCGAGACTCTGGTGTCTAAGAGTTTCAAGATGTCATTGCCTTCCTCTGTTGATACATTATGGTTGTGCCTAGCTGAATGTTGGTTAGCCTTTGTCCAGACGCCGGAGAGAACCGAGGTTTTGACAGGAAGTCTAAAAGTCTTCTAGAAACATATGCCAAGTGAGCCGGCAAAAGTATCGGCAAGTGCCCGATTCATTTTCGGGCAGTGTTGTGGCCAGTTGCTTGAGAAAGAAAAAGGCGATAGAAGTTGAAGCGGATTCATTGGTCATGTCACTTGCTGCCCCATGGGGTGGATTTTCGCACTGACGGATGTGGAGGCGGTTCGGTGGAGTTCGGTCAAATTCAGTGGGAACAATTGGCTCGGTGTTCTTGCCGTTGTCTTGGACACACTTCCTAGAATATTCAAACCTCCTGTGGGCCGGAAAGGCGAATTACACAGTGGATCGCGAATCCAATCAGAAAATACACAGGCTTTTGAGTTGTTGGATCCTAGAAAAAAACATACGATGCAAGGAAAACATCACCTGCAAGGCTTTCCGGCCGTTCCGGAAGGAATGTAGTTTTGTAATAGTTGTCAACAAGTGTCCACTGTTGAATCTTGATCATGCGGTGAAATGAGGGCATAAACGACACACTTAGTTCCCGGGCTGGAATGCGAAATCTGGGGTCCCCAACGTAATTTCAGTACACAACTTCGCGGGCCAAATTGCTTTCAAATATTTTTATTCTGTAGTTCCATGCAACATTCTTTGATTCTATTTGCTTTTGTTCAGAAGCTACGAAGCTGGACGAATTATGAGCCTCGAGAGTGAGAAGCATCCAGACCAACTACCGTCTCTCAGCTTTCAGGCGATGCATAACAGAGTCAACTACCACGCCACATATACCGTTCACAAAACCCATCTTGGACCACTCAAAGCCCAATTTTTAAGCAGAAGTAATGTAAGTCTTTTATCTTGTGGTGTGGAGTCTCTATTCACGTCGAAATGCTTTCATCAACTTCGTCTCATGTTCCTCATGCTTCCGAAGCTAGCCCTCAAAATTCTTCAAACGAAATGACTTTCCACACTATGCATTTCTTTTTATCCCATGCCGGTCGCTAAGGCGTGCATACCGGAGTAATGGTCGTTGTGGCCATCCAACCAACTACGCAGCCAGCAGATTCTCTACAAATACACACAAGAGTTATCCGACTTGCTCAAAACATTCCTTCGCAAGACATATCTTCGGCGAGACGTCGACATATGAGCAAACATTTGTATCTTTGATCGCAATGTGATTATTGCGTGCCAAAAACATTCCACAAGCATTTCTGCTGCCAGCTTTCTCCTTGTTGATTTGTCTCCCTATTTTAAGCGGAGGCTCTTGTTTGTGTGAAGACACATCACCACGTCGACACTCAGTTCAACGAACGATAGATTTTGAAAGTCCAAGATGCTTTTCAGACACGATAGCTTTTGATACTGCATATGTTGGCGTTTTTAGAAGCCATTTGGCCTCTTTAAGGTTATGTTTGGAGAAGCTTGCACAACACTGCATCAAAGCAGGGAGCGCAAATCTCAGAGTCGTGTAATAGAATGAAAGGCTGTGCAGTGTTTCTCGAATTGACGTAGGAATCGATGAAAAGTTACGGAATATCATTGTCGTCGCAATCCTACTTGTCAAAACGACATTAATATCTGTTGACCCACTCGCCCATGAAAAATCTTTACGATGCCCCGCAACACATCTCACATTTCCACCACCCAAGGCGACATTTCGGCACACATTCATTCCCTTTCAATCCATTACGCTAATCTTCCGAAATTCTAGCTCCTCTATCTACCCAAATAACATATTCTCTCCCATCCAATCAAGGATACATGGTCGGGTGGTGTAGTTGGTTATGTACGTGCTCACCTGATGATGACTGACAGGAGTTCAGCAAAGACTAATATGCACACAGCACATCTCGTTAACAGTTTACTGTGACATATTCCGAGAAGGTCCTGGGATCGAGCCCCAGCCTGATCATTACTTTTTTTTGGTTTTCCTTACTTTTGCGTTGGCTGGGTGTTTTGGATTTGTGTAGACATGCTGTTTAACCCAACTACTTCAGACGCTCAACTTAGGGGCTTACAGTCACTGTTATTTGGTCTGACAATCAAATCCGATAGCAATTTAGTTGTCTTTGAACCTTGTCGGCATGGGATCAACAACATTTTTTGCTGTGCTTCGCTATCGCAAGAAATGGTAGAACGTCGGAGAGCAGAACAGGTTGGAGAAGGAGCACAATATCTATACCCAGGTGGGGACTTGCTTTAGATACTCCCTATTTGGATTCAAAGTATCCCTTACACTTGACAACTCAAGCATTAGCATGACTTTGGCACCAATTAACCCAATCCACAAAGAACGCAGCCTGCATCTTGACCTCCCCCTCTACCCAGGCAACCTGCGAGTCCCTATACACCGTCGCGATCTTCTTCACGCTCCCCTTGTCAGCTCTGTACAAACTTGACGCCACTAGCAAACTCGCACTACTTGCCGCTCTGGCGAAGAGATGCGAAGGGTCTTTGGAAGCCTCGGCATGAATAGCATTGAGCAACTTGAATTGCTCGGAAGCATTGACTTCGGCAGCACCATCTTTCTTCGCACTCTTGGAGGCTTTAGCGAAAGCGAGGATGATGTTGTGGGCTTTCTCAGCAAGTTGTTTTGCTTTCGTCGTCCGGATCAACTGCAGCAGAGGAAGAAGTAGGCCAAATGCGAGAGGATTCGAAGCTTGCTTCTTAGCGTATAATTCCAGCAAGTCGAGAACACGGCCTTTGAAGTTGACCATGGTTTCCTTAGCGTCCTTTTGCTCTTGCTTCTTATTAGGGGCTTTCTTGCGCGCTGAGAAGATCTCTACAAGTTTGGCGTCTAATTGCATCATTTCCGAGTCTGTCATGTCGGCGTCGCTGTCTTCGTCGCCGTCGTCACCTTCTTGACTGGGTAGGTGAGTGCCAAGGGCTTGGGCGAGAGCTAGGTTCAGTTTTTCTGCGTCTTCGTCTTCTTCGTCTCCTGACGCTTCATCTTCCTCGTCGTCTGATTCATCGTCTTCGTTCTCTTCGAGGTGTCCGTTCAGATGTACCTCATCTCCATCCATGTCAAGTACTTCAACGTCTGAATCTTCGTCTGAATTTTCATCACCGTCTATATCCATACCTTCTCCATCCTCAGGCTCTTGATCAAAGAGCTCTTGCTGCCCTCTCAAACTTTCATCAGATAGTAGAATGTCGGTCATTAGTTGCAGCCCACGTGCAGTCATATCGCTCATGAATGCACCAAATACATGTTGCGTGACCTTTCTGAGAAGCGCAGATGGCTTGGAGATGAATGAAAGCAGTAGCTCCACTAAAACCTCAGATGCGTCGAGATCAGAGTCCTCGGTATCCTTGTGACGGATCAATTTGTCGTAGCAAAGCTTGAGTTCGTCTAAGATGGCGACAGCTTCAGGCTCGCCGTTGTACAATTGGAAGACGACCAGTGAATACAACAATGCTAATGCTTGAAGAGGTGCTTTGTCATCGGCGCTGGCCTTCTTGGCTCTCTTGAGAATCTTCTCTACTGTTGAGATGGCGTTGTCCCTTACATCGCTGATTCCCTGGTCCATCTTCACTGCGTCAGGTGTGGTTGAGCGCAACAGATCGCAAGGAAAAGTATAACCTTTTAAGTCGGACAGCAGATGACCCAACGATGACATGAGACGTGTTCGGAATATGGTACGAGTCTTGCTGGACAGTGATGGCTTGCATTTGGGATCCTCGCCATAGGCGAATTTGGCCAATGTTGGTAGGGCAGTTTCCTTGATCCAATCGGCATCTCTCGACTCGTCTGTAATGTTAACTTTTCGAATGATGTTCAGTATGTAATCGCCTAGCATTTGTCTCCGCATCTCAGCCTCCCTATCATCGTCCCTGACCGAGTCAGTCATGCGAAGGGAAATTTAATGGTGGGGAAACTTACCCGGCTACGGATATAACTGGCTCGACAAGTATGTTGATTACAACTGGGGCACTGCTATCCTCCACCAGATTCAACAACTTCTCGATCGTCTTGGTCTTCGTGACTCTATCAAAGTTGTATGTTCCGTGGCCTCCAATCAAGCATGGCAAGATTGTCACGAGCAACTTCGGGTTGACTTCCACTGCACCAATCAAAATCTTCAAGGACTTGTCTGCCGCTCGATGGAGAAAACGATCCTTTTCTTGGACGTGGTTGATGAGGCACCGAACTAGATTATGACTGAAAACACTGGGAAGTAGTTTGCCATATGAAGTAGCGTCTTCGATGACTTTCTGGAAAAGTAAGAATCCCCAGAACTTTCTCTCCCTAGAAGCAGTGGACGAAAATAAGTTCTCTGTTGAAAATTAGCTTCACCTTCGGTAAGTTATTGGGAAGGTCTCATACCGTCAACCGCAACTTTCCAAAAATTCTCGAATTCTGACTTGACGCCATGAACCTTTGCTTTCACACCTTGAGCGTATTGCGCCAGGACTAAGCTCCAGACAAAGTGGAGCTTCGCATTCCAATTTCCAGTTTGTTTTGCCTGCTGAGACTTATCTGATCCCTCGTCACTTGAACTTTCCTTGAGCGCCTTCCCAAGGGTTTTCAGATGTTCTAGTGGGTTTCCGCTCGAGCCCCAAGGCTTGCTGGGAAATTTCATATCCGGAAAGCGTTTTCCGGCCGTGATCCAGATTCCTACGCCTTCTGGAGATTGAGCCAACCCAGCACTTTGTATCTGTTCCAAAGTATATTCGGCTTGACTTTGATTCATTTGTGACAATGCTCCGGTAATAACCCAGCCGCATTGCTCCCGAGTCCACGGTTTCTTCTTGGCCAATTCCAGGAATTTCTGAAGTATGGTGTTCCATTTGTTATCCTCTCCGAACAAGATCTTAGCCCCAACGAAGCTCTCCAGTCCAAACAATAATCCGAGGAAATGATCTTTCTCTTCTTGTCCACTCAAGTCACCGTCGGGTTTTGTTTTCGCAACCAGAAAGCCAAGAACTTTGTCAAAAGTCAAGCCCGGGTATTTTGTCTCCGCCAGATTCTTCGTCCCGAACAATTGTCCTAGGATTTCCGCCAGCACGACACTGAAACCCAGCCTTGCGCATTTCCTGCCACTTGCAAGCCCCCGAAACAATCGTCTTTCGAGATGTCGCTGGAGGGTTGACTCTTCAACACCTTCTCCTCCTAGAAGGCCTGCCAGTACTGCAGTGGCAGCATTGAGTCGATCTTCTATATCCTCGCTACTAAGTAAATCATAGAGCTGGACCTCCCTTTTCAAATCCGCGCCTTTTGGGTTGTCGAGGAAAGGGGACGTGTCTAGAGGGGTCGCTGCGACGGTGGGTTTAGCTATGCGCTTTTCGACCTTCTCCTCTGTCTTCTGCTGTTTTTTTGGATTCTGTTCGGCGAAAGCTCCTTCCTTGGCCGCGCGTTTCCGTTTTTGTCCCATGTCGAACGTGGGAGTAAATCGTTACCACGGAGAATTTCGAGGGGAACTGTCTCTTCTATTTCCCAAGATGTTTCTCGATTTTTTTGAACTAGAATTAACTTTGTGCCAGCTCACACCGCCTTTACTGCCATATCATATTGGCGAGCACGAATGACTTCGTAGCCTAGTCAGGACTGTCTCGGCTCCACTCGTCCAATCGCTTTCCTTGATTAGAACAGTGCAGGAATATATCCTCAAGTCTGCTTTAAAAGGCAAAATACAGTGAATATTGTTTTATGCCATCTCAAAATGATATCAAGAGAGACACGTGATCTCGTGTTTTCTAAGAACGCCTCACGACCCCTGTATGCATGCTGAGTGGGGCTGAGCTGGGCTGAGCAGCCTGATGGATGCTATTCTCCTCGTGCTTCTATCTTTCCCACTTCACGCTTCTGATATTATATCTCCCATCCTGTGGCAAAGCAGAGTCGAATCGCCTGAAAGCTCCTCATTCATCTATCCTTCAAACCCCTCTTGTAAAGCCTCGTCCCCATCTCTTTCCATACCAGTCCGTCGCCAATAAGGCATAACCACAAGCCAGGACAAGCCTTCTAGGCGGATGTGAGGCTGTCGGTATGGATCCACTTACTGCCATAGGCGCGGTGGCGTCCATTTGCCAACTAGCCAACGCTGCCTTATCTCTCTCCAAAACACTTTACTCCTTGGGCTCAGCTATAGGTTCTGCATCAGAAGATGTCCAAATTCTGGCCGAGGATCTCAAAACATTCTCTCAATCCTTGACACTCCTTTCGCGGTTGCTAGAAGATAGCAAGTCCTGGTATTCCGACGACATCTATCTTCTGACGGCTAAAATAATCAAGGACTGTGCGGATCTGTATGTCAAAATCGAAAAGGTTCTCGCTAAATTGGGTGCCAATGGCAAAAGCAATTGGAAACTGCGTGTTAAGTTCGTTTACAAGGAAAGTGAGATTAAAAAGTTACTGAAGAGATTGCGGGATATGAAGGGTACTCTGGCGACCATTTTGATGAGTCTTCAGGTTGATCTCCAGCTGTCTTTATTGTGAGTAGGCGAGGCAACCAGATGCCTAGAGGTAAGGCGTTTTGTGCTGGGCTGAATCGAAACACAGAAATCTGTCGAGCTCTAGCAGTCTAAGCTCAAGCAACAGCCGAGACGCCCCAAGTGTCTCGTTGCAGCCTGAAACTCTTCAGACTTTGGAAGAGGCGCAGAAAGCTGTTGAGTCTGGAGGTTTCATGACGAAATACACGGTCGAAACCAAGCAAGTTGTCGAGCTCTCAGAGAAGGAAGTGCGCGTTTCCACTACTCATCACGAAGAGGTCAATCGACGACAGCCAATAACGACGGCGGGTGTTCCAACGCGGTCTGTAGTGGCCACGACAGATGTTCTGGGATCTCAAAAAGAATCACGGCCGAATGGTCCTGGCGCCACCTTGCACCAACCCATAACTACTCCGACCATGCCACAGAGCTTTATGATGATTCCGTCAGGCTCTGCTGATATGCAGAACGTATTCGCGA